GGGGAGCACATTACCCCCCCCCCCCCCGAAACTCGTAGTGACCCTAGAGTGCAGAAGCGGTTAACTTGAAGCAAGCCTGAAAAGCCAACGATTCTTAATCCCGTTGTTTTTGCTGCTAAAAGCCTGGGAATCATGGACCAGGACGGCACGTTCGCCGTCACAGATCCACAGGCAGAACTTGGGCCGGCGCGTTTCCACAGTTTCTGTTCGAGGTTTCTGGCGTCCATTGGGGCGGACACCAAGGTGTTCATGTCAGCGTAGTTTTTGTTCTTCGGAATGTTGCTCCCTGCAATGCTAGTTCGCCGATATTTCGCCGATAGAAGAGGAATGCAAGCTTTTTCCATCCTCTACAAGCCTGGAGCCCTTCAAGCAGGGGGTCTATCCCGGGGCCTGGACATGCGGCTGTAAAGGGAGATTTTGCGGCGCTTAGGTGCCGGGTTATCGTTCCTCCGGGCGGTTGTTGCGACAGGTGTTGAAGTTCCTGGCCGACCACACGGAGCTACCATTGCCAATCGTTCATTGACGTAGCTGACGATGATTATCTTGATTGATAGTGTGGCAGACTGTCACCGTTGGGTGCTGAGAAGCATGTTCCAGGCCCTACAGTACCTACAAGTACGACAGTCGTCAGTCTGTAGTACTTGCTACCTATCAAACTGCCAGTTCGGTTTGTCGTTTCAGGCTCAAGCAAAGTTATGACCGTCCTTGCAATTTAGCAGGAACCCACGCAATAATTTATTTACAGTTGTCAACAGCCGAATTGCGAGGTGCCGACAAACTTGATCTTTGCGTGTTCCTGAGATTTGTTTTCATCTGTATCGAAGCGCACCGCGGTGTCTGATGGTGTTTGCCAGGTGCTATCGTTAGTGGCTTCAGTGTCAGCTCTTTGCAAATGTCAAGTTGATGGAGGAAGAGTCGGGTATTTGCTTGGGCAAATAACAGCGAGCCGCAGTCGCCTTTGCATTGGCCTTGAAATAACCCACAATCCCCTGACAGCCCAGCATCAGACCAGCCGCGCATAGAAACTACTTCCAAACTTCTGACCTCTCCACCAACCCCAATTCCCAAGCTCTCGTAGAAAATGCAGTGCGAGGACCTGCCAGTGCAGGGCAGCAGCGGCGAAAGGCCCACGTGCGACGCTTGAAGCTGTCAGAGGTTTAAAATCTGCTCGGAGTCCCAGTGGATATTTGAGTACAGCTCTTGCTGTTGCTGCTGATGGTGTTTGACGTGCCGTGAGACACTCGTGTGACGATGAGAACGATGCTGCTAATGATAAAGGTAACAGACGCACACTATTCATGACGTCCATAGGGTCGTGTCCGTGCGGCGCAGGCTACGCCGCAGTTGCTTTTGATGTCATGACGACGATGACGAAGAACAACATGTTGCTGCATGATGATGCTGCCGATGACCAGGCCACCTACTTCCACCACTGCTACGACGACGACCACTACTGCTGTTACTACGACGGCTGCTACTGCTACTGCCACTGCTGCTGCTATTACCACCACTACCCCCACTACTACTGATAACACTACTACTGATAGCACTACCACCACCACCATCACCACCACCACCACCACCACTACTACTACTACTACCACTACTACTACTGCCACTACTAGTACTACTACTACTGCCACTACTACTACTACTGCTGCTGCTGCTGCTGCTGCTGCTGCTACTACTACTACTACTACTACTACTACTACTACTAGTACTGGTATTACTACTCTTCACCTAACTCTGCCCCTAAGCCCTTGGCCTAAGGCCAGGACCGGAGTGCTGCGTAGGATGCCTCCTGCCGAGGCGATCCGTTGGCTGCAGCAGATGCAAGCAGCAGGCCTGAGGCCGAATCCGACATCGTACACCGGGATCCTGGATGCTTTCTCCAAGAAGATGCTTAGCTAAAAGACACTTGCAACACGGGATCGCGGTACCGAGGATCTGAATTTGACCAAGGAAAGATGTTTCTCTTCAGGAGGTCACGCATTGGTTCCATCAGATGGTGAATGACCAGCACTCCCCTGACGAGGCGGCATTTTCTTGCATGCCGCTGTGCTGAGACATTGACGTGGAGTCGTCCAATCTTGCCTGCTTGGGGTGAGATTTTACGTGTCGGAGTTCGGGATTCCGCAGCGCTGACAAAGAAGCCCTTTGGAGCAACGGAATTTAACAACACTTCCCGCGAGTGCTCCACCCGGAAATGTCAACACTTAGTCATGTCATGTCATGTCATGTACGAATCACCAGAGCATAACTGTAGTCGGATGCCAAGGATCTTCTGCTGTGCGAGGGCACGACGTCCCAAGGAAGCCGAGGCCGGGGCGGCCAGAAGAAGGCAGATCCTACAAGAGTGGATGCACGGCATGTGTTGAAGGCTTGGCTCCGGCGCATGCATGAAGCCGAGCTGAAGCCCGACTCCAGGCCAGGCAGGACTCGACAGGCACCATGGGATAACACAGCAGCAGATCGTCGTGGCAAGGTCCTTCAATGGGGTGATCGCTTCTGCGGCGCAGCTGGGGCAGATGGAGTTGGCAGAAAAGTTCCTTCGGCAGATGCTGGAAAGCAGTGTGCAACCCAACGTCATGTCGCTCCGTGGCTTCTCATTTACTGCAACATACTGTAAACTGTCGTAACATGCCATACTGTACTGTGCCGGCAAGAAGGTTACATATGTTACATGCAAGCCAGACCCGTTATTGCTGCGAGTATCAGCTAAGGTACACCAACATTATCAGCGCCTGTGCCAAGACCTCTAATCGCCTTGGTGCGATGCACTGGCTGCAAGAGATGCGCGAAACATCGCTGCCGCCCAACGTTCTGTCTTACACATGCGCGATTGAGGCCTGGATGGAAGGGGTCAGTCTTCAAGGAATCTCCAGCTTGAGTCTCTGTCTCTGTGCTTCCCAGTCGAAGCAGCTTGAAGCAACGAGGCATGCCTGCGCCCTGGTCCTGACGTCCAAGAAAGCTGGGCAAAAGCGCTCGCCCTCCTCCGGCGCATGCGTCAGGAAGGCACCGGGTCCCAGAGAGAAGGGCTCCGGAGCTAAGCCTCTTTGAAAGCTCTGGCTGAGGTATCCAGGCAGACAGGATCTTGCTGGGCAAGCTGCGGCGCCTTGTTGGTTCGGAGGCGGAAGAGGCTTCCCGGCCTTCGTGAGTCTTTGCAGGCGATGCAGGCGGCCCTTTGCAGGTGTTGAACACGCCCAGCTCAGGAGTTTCTTCGTGCAGCGACTTGACTGTCTCATCGGCTCAACCATCCCCATCTTCAACCTTCGAAACGGCGCCGGCGAGCTGGACTGATCTGCGCTGGAAGAAGTCCAAGACCGTGGGATTGAATCCCGCCCTGCGACTTGCTCGAGCATTGGATAGTCCCAAAAATCGTTGTTGGTCCTTCGCTCTGGCTCCGGGACAGATCCTCGTGCTTGGAAACTGTAGCTTCGACAAATCAGCACATCTTGAGCAGGTTCCGAAACCCAGCCTCACGGCGCTAAGGATGGACCTGCTCTTCCAGAACCACCACGGAGGTGACTCACCGCTCGCCCTGAGCATCGATTGGGACTCCCACGTGTAACTCGCAAACTTGTCGAGACTGGATTCGCGGTGGAACCCATCGAGTGAATCACCTTGACCAACCACCGGGTCTCGCGGAAATCAATAGGGTCAAAGGGGATGCAGGGAGTGATGCCAAGTGTAACATACTTTAAAGCTTGGCGGAGGCTGGAGTGTGGACCATGAGACCTCCTGCAATCCATGCGCATCCATGCACCGTGAAGGCTGCGGTGGTTCAGGGTTCCTGGATGAGGCGCTACAAGTGACGGGATGTTTTGTTTTTCAAGACTGGGAACGGCTGTACGGTTCAGAGCCTTACTGTCAGGCCTCCGAGGAGTCTTCAGTTCAGAGTATTGCATATCCCGTCATGAAGGGATTGGAGTTTTGGATTTCATGAGTGAGGGTTTGCCGCGAAAAGGCACTGTGATTCTGGATCTTGCCGTCTGCAGGCTCGAAGGACAAGTCAAACGAGCAAGGAAGAACACTTTCAAGCTGATGCACCCACAATGGACTGTTTTTTGTTTGAAGGCCCCTGGGGTTTCAAGCTTCCTATGCCAGGGCCTCAGTCTACAGCCCCCGTCCATCTTTGTGCCATGCTGCGACGCCACGACCTTTTCTTTTCGGGGCACATGGCCAGCGCGCCTCAACTTCTTACGGAATTGTGATGGTTTTGGGTGGCTGCTCCGCGGGCACTTGAGTGAGCAAGGGTTTCGGGCTTAACCGCTTGACCCTGAACCAAAAAGTTTGTGCCCTTCCCTGGACATCCCGTGCAAGGGTTTGGGGCCTGGGGAGGGCCGTTGGGTTTTGGGCTAGAGGACAGGGTTTAGACGCCGCCCTTTGGAGATCCCTCAACAGTGCAAAGTCCAGTCACACCGAAACCCACGGTCCTCGCAGTCCTAAACCCTGAAACCGATGTCCTTCAACTGACACATCAGCTAGAATTGCAAAACCCTGAACAGAAAGCGCAAAGCAAGTGCTGCTTGTAGGATTTAGGGGCAATGCTCGTGGTTGCAAGGAGCTTCTGGCAATTCGCTTGGCTGGGCGATCAGCTCCGACTCCTCCAAGAAGCTGCCAAGGGGTGACTTGAAAGACGCTTGCGCACCACGTTTAAGGCAGCTTTCTGGACAGGCTTAGAGGTTTAGATCGCGCGCTTCAACTCGGCGAAGCCTCCTTGGCCTAGATCTCCCTCGCAATGTATGGGCGCAGGCGGCATCATTCGGAGCCTGTGACTGAAGAAAGTTCCCACTGCCAGAGCCAGGTTGTGCAGAGCAGCCGCGCGCTACATGTTTGGTACCTTCCTCCTCCCAGAACTTTTGCGCATCTGACCTTCCCAAACATCTGAAGGTGAAGACTCTATGGACTTTTGCCTTGTACAAGCCCGGTTGGGCGACACGGAGCTTCGAGATACAGGGCAACCAGATTGCTTGCACAATGGCAGCCGACGTCGCTGACTGCGAGGTTTCGGCACCAGACACCGTTTTACAAAGCGTTATTGCAGGCTGAACCCACGAACCCTCATGAAGCCATGGCTTGCCGCTCAACCCCCATTCAAGAAGATCCCCATTACCCAAACCGTAGAGCTCTAAGCCCTAAGCACTAAGATACCCGACTCGTAGCCCTTGATGGGAGCAGCCAGTTCCATAACTTGGCGCAACTCTCCGTCCGTCCTAGCACAGAAGCAAGGCGCCTTGGGGTGTTTGGGCGAGGCCCCCTCAGGGCATGTACAGGTTTAGGGCCTTTAGGGCTTAGGGATGTTAAGTCGCAGTCTTTTGGGGGTCGTAGTTTAGCCAGTTTGGGGTTTAGGCTTGAAGGTCCCTCGAGTTTGGGATGTAGCGCTTGTGCCTGTCCCGCATTGGCCGGTGCAGCGCTTTGTGCTTCCCATGGCAGATGGAGGAGGGTTCGCACTCCAGAGGTGCGTGACTGATCTTGTTGTCGTTCGTGGCTTCTTACCTTCGGAGTTGTTCCTCGACCAAAGACGCAAAAGCACAAAATCCGCGCTTCTGAGTCCAACAGACAGTTAGGATTGATAGTTTTACCATTTTCTAACTTTCTACCTAACGCCTCAATTCTAGGGGCTCATGGTAGTGCTTTAGAACCTGCCTGCAGTTCATTTTGCGGCAGCTTGGGGTATTAGGGCTTCATACCTGAGCAGTGACCTTGAGTGATTCAATGCTCAGCACCGTTGTGATCGAAAAAGCATATAACATCCCAGATACCACTAAGCCCCAGGGGCTGAATCCGAAATTTCGAAGCTGTTCCAAGCTGACCCTGACAGGACAGTCAGCAGCATGTAGACCACTATCGAGTGCGTTTCAGCAGCCGCAGACTGCATGCGGTGCATAGCCTTGCAGAAGCCTTGGCGGCTGCGAAGCAGGGGTGTCTCCTTAGGAACCGACACCTTGCTGCAGCTGGCCAGTGCCATGATGCGAAGTGCCCGACGCATCGGAGCAAGCTTTCTCGGAGCCTTCCGATTTCACTGAGACAGACAGAAAAGAGAGGAGTACAGCACAGGTCCGGATGTAAGCGCTTCAGCAAACCTGACATGCATCCCCAAAGCACGAGCAGGTGTGTGGGAGCCAGAACTTGCTTTCACGAAGCGAGGTTTGAGGCTCAATTTCAATCAAAGTGGGTCCTGAACCGCTATGCATGACGAGCCAGTTGAACATTCTCGCGCGGATGTTTGTAGTTCGCAGCTCCCGGACGGCGGAGAAAGCTTGCACTGCGTTTCTGAAGCCGGAGTTTTGTAAGGAGGAGCACCTGCCGCTTGCAGCCTGTAGTGGCTCGCTCAAGTCAGGGGCTGTGGACATTTTGGTCGAAGTCGACTGAAGCGACCTCTCCTTTCCAAGATGGAAGCGATCGTTCACGGTTGTTTCGTTCTAGAGTTTGCTGGTTTCGGCCGCAAAGGCGCTGCCCAGGATCCAAGCTTTCGTTGCTGGTCCACGTCAGTTTTCTTCTGCTTCTAAATGGTTTCATTTGGCCTCCAAGCTTGGAGACGGGAGACTAAGCGCGGCATGCTGAGCTCGTGCTCTGAGCTGTTGGGACTACGCCGCCCATCCTTGTAGCCAAGCCGCTTCCGCTCTTGTCACAGACAGTCCACCGGTGTCGGGCGTTCTGGTGAGCCAGCGAGCCATCGAGTCCTCCAGAAATGTTAAAGGGTTCTGTGCCAAGGATGGACAAGCCTGCCGGTCATTCGCAGCTCCGTTTCTGAGCCCCGGCCGTCGTTTGCATCCCAAGCCGTAGACCCTGAAACCTTGCATCGCTAAGCTCCAAAAATTAGTGTTTTTGGTGGCCAGCATTGTTTCCCTTTGCGCGGCCCTTCCAGCGGCTCTACTTGCAGAGCTCCGTGTGGGTCAGGGCATGCTCCCTGACATCTCAATCTCCTGCATTCTCCCAGGTAAGGGTTTAGGGTTTAGGGTTCAGGTGCAGACAGGACTTCAAGGTTTTGTAGAGCGCAAAGCTCCAAGAGTGGACTCATGCTCCAGCCGGCACTAAGCGCCGGCGGGCTTCTCTCGTGCGAGGCGCCCACCTGAAGCTCACACAAATGATAAATTTGGGATTACCCGCTCAAAACCACAATTCTTCGCCTTCTGCAACTCACGGGAAGTAGGTTCTAGTTTACTGGGTTCTGACCGCACGTGATAAGGACGCTCTCCATCACGTGTTCAGGAGCTGGGGCTTGTAAGGCAGCATAAGCTTCGCCATCACGCTACTGGAATCCTCATGCCCCAGACCCAAGACTCCAGGCCTCAATCCTGCACACTCTGCATGCTCCGATCCATGTGATAAGCGCTGCTCATGCATCCTGTTTCGGTGCCACTTCTCTCAAGACAACTTGGGACACAGCTTGGCAGCAGGGGACCTCCCCTTGATCCGTGGCTCAACTCGGCAGCTTAGTCAAAACGTCTTAAGCCAGCTCCCGGCCAGGATTCTGAAGCCTCCTTAAAGGGCCCAGTCCGGGCTTGCTTCCGTAAGAGGACACAGCTGCAACCTTAGGCCCGGACCCACGGCCGGAACTCGCCGGCGTCTTGGACGAAGCCTTGCATTCCGGGCTCGGGGAAGCTTTGGCCCTGGACCGAGCCCCTCTTCTTACGTAACTCTGTCTGGGAGGATGCCCGTCTGAAATCTGCACAGACTGGTGCGGTCCTTGCCGGGAGTTCGAGGTTTCGAGTTGTAGGCGTTCAGAATGTGTAGAGGTTTAGATGCTGCTGGTGTTTAGAGGCAAAGGTCTGGATGCCATGATGGCGATGGCCTGATCATGGCCGCATGCCGTGGTCCCCGCGCAATGCAAGACAGCACTTCTTGCGGATTTGTGCACAGAAACTGTCACCACCGTGTTGTTGATCTCAAGGTGGGTTGGAGGTTGCGGAGTTGAATACCAGGTTTGGCCTCCAGGCAGTCCTGACGCCGTTGGCTTGGATGACTTGCTTGCCCTATGCACATATGCCACTGCTTGCACGCAAGGTGCTTCCAGTACGCACAAGACTGCTCAGCTAGACATGTCTTAGTCCGTCGGGTGCCTGTTGATATCTTCATACGGGCCTTGTCCCAGATGCACCACACCTGCCAGAAGCCTAAATCTGCCTACTGCAAGCTTGGCTGCGCAAGCTTAGTTGGGTGATGACGGCCTTCCAGCCTCCTGTGCATTGCAGTCCATCGTAGGGCTGGGAAGACTAAGTGGGAGTGTACG